CTTTCACATCAGCTAGCTTAGCCTTCGGATTGAATGGCTTTTTGAAAAACTTCTTAACACGATTATTCGAGTAAAATCCTATTGCCTCATCATCCGAATTCATGATGAATCCCTCTTCTTCCTCTGAATCACCTTTTTCAACTTCTTTCTCAGATATCTTGGATACAAGTGCCAATGGACCTCCCAAACTCAGCTTCGATTCCTCAGCCATTTCATTAACCTCACTTTCGTGTGTCTTCAACTGATTGTACAGATCATTGAGAGATGATGTATCAAAACTTTGCTGATTCTTCACCATCATACTCACGCTTCTCCATTCTTTTTGAAGACCCATCACAAAGATAAAATTGAATTCCATTGAAGTCCTGGTGATTCCATAGCGATTGCAACGGTAGATTAACTCGTTCAGACGATCATAGTACACTTCAATTATTTCACCTTCTTTTTGTCTGAAAACTTTCAGCTCAACCAAGCACTGTTTGATTGAATTGATTTTCGTCTTCTCGCTTCCTTGAAACTTTTCTTTCAGATTGTTCTAGATCTCCTTAGTAGTTGCACAACTCCATACGTAATTGTATACAACTGGAGGCAAAGCTCCTCGCAATTCCCTCATACATCTCTTCTCCAGTTTCTTCAGACGATCAGTTTGATTTTCAACACCAGAACTTGCAGAATATGATCCAATTGCTTGAACATTCACCAGAGCATTGACATTTCCAGTGATACATGACCATAATTCTTCATCAAGACCATTTAGATAATCCTGCATACGATCAGCCCACTGATCATAGTATTCAGGGATCAGCATTGAAATTTTTGTTCATGATCCTAACAGATGAGAAAACGAGGTCATCGAATTGAGATTGAAGCTCGTCATTGTTGTACGGAAGATGATTTTGAGAATTTTGAATAAAATTTGATAATTTGAAAACAAACTAGTTGAATCAAATCGGAATTACAAGAAGAACACTCGATTCAACAATTCAAATGCATAATCAAATCACAACCTACAATCTAGACAAATTTTTCACTATCAAAAAGGGCAGAAACTTTTGAACCAAAAAGTTGATTCAAAAACTTTTTGAATAGATGAAAATCAGATCACAGATGTGATTCCTGCTCTGATATCAATTGAAGAATCAATGAATCGAGTATAAAATGAATTAGAGTTAAAATTGAAGTAGGAATGCAAGATTGAACAACGGATGTAAATATGATCTTGTTTCAGCTCTATTACGCTTTCGAATGTTTACAGAGTACAAAGACAGGTCTGTAAAAACTCTTATCTAACTCTAGTAAATATCCCTATTTATAGGAATCAGAAAGCGTACAAAAAATATACTAAGGCATAGACACTTAAGCTTCGAATAAAATCGCCTTAGTAAAATAGATTACAAAACATTCGAAGAGTGCAAAATATACTTCGACTAATTACAACATTTTTGACCCTTACAAGTGTGAGGTGAGTTACCCTCCAGTAGCGGTGGGTCTACGACCACAATGCCGGCCCACCAGTAGGAGTTGTATGTTAGATGATTGTCTTTGTGATATTCATCTAGGTTTGCTACTACCTGATATGTTTATGTGCTAGCATGATATGTTATATGTGATAGTTGTAGTAGGGAGAGAATAGTCCCCAAGTTCGGTCGTTAGGACCGAAGGGTAGGTCGGGCACCCCGGAAGTGTCTGACAGTATGTTTATGCTATGATATTATGTGGTAGTAGTAGGAGGTGAAATAGTCCTCTTATGTTGGTCGTAAGGACCGACGGGTAAGTCAAGCACCCCAGAATGGCTTGACCTGGGTAGGTCAGGCGCCCCAGAATTGCCTGGTAGTATATGTGTGTTATATTATTGCGTGGTAGTGGTAGGGGTGAAATAGTCCCCGGTAGTCGGGTGAAATAGACCGACGGGTAAGTCAAGCACCCCAGAATGGCTTGACCTGGGTAAGTCAGCCACCTCAGAATTGCCTGACAGTATGTTATTGTATGGTGTGTGGTATGATGGGGGAACTCACTAAGCTTTGTGCTTACGGTTTTCAGTTGTGGTTTCAGGTAGTTCGTTTTCAAGGAAAGGAGCCAGCTTGATCGCAGCGCATCACACTATATTTCCGCACATGAGATGTTGGGGATTACACTATGATATTGTATTATGATAGCATGTTTGATTATTTCTACTTTGGTTTTGACATGAGATGTTATTATGGATGTTTTTATACTTTTGGTTTTATAATAACTTATTTAAAAAAGAAAATTTTCAGCCTTGAATTTTGGGATGTTACAACTGGGTTCCCAAAACCATCTAATCCCACATAATGTGCCAGAGTAGCTATGGAGGAATATCATCAGACTTCGGTATGTTGATAGTGGCTGTTCTAGGCACATGAGAGGAGATATCTCTCTCCTACATGACATTCAGAATTTTAAATGGAGAGCATGTGTCCTTTGCGGGAAAGGAAAAGGAAAGATCACAAATGGGGATTACATCAATTGCTGAATTACGATTTGAATTTTCTAACTCTTCTATTCTCTGTGATGATAATGCTATTTTTCAATCGTCCATAAAAAACCTATTTTTTTTCTAAAACCAAGCTCGTGCTTGTGGGATTTATTAAGATGATACGTTTCAAAGACTGAAATGTCTTTTCATTTTTATTTAGTATTTCTTATTTTCTTTCATTTTGTTTTACTTTTAGAATAAGAAATTTGTGACAACCTTTTGGGATGTGATATATGTCAGTGATAAAAGGAAAACGAAATACGTGTAATACACTAAAGCTGAATTGTCTAAACTCTGTGTTCAATGTGTTGGTAGGCATAAAGGACTATGACTAATGGACTAGACAATGTGGACTCATTTGACTTAGAAAACCTCGTTTGGACTGACAATACGACGCTTGGATAGATCTAACAGTAAAATAGACAAGGAGTCCTATGACATAAATTGAAGCTAACTATCATCTAGATATGTGGCTCAATACTTCATTGGCATATGGACTTGTGTCCTTAATTCTGGTATTGACAAGGGTGACTAAGGGGTTCTGATAAATTGGGTCTTTTTAAAATCGTTATTCTTTCTTTCTTAGTCAGCCATATGTTGTCCCCTTTGCATGATCGGAATATCCGACCTGGGATATAACATATGCACTAAGATGATGTTCACTGCTTTTAAGTCAATATATTGTCTCTTACAATTATCCTACTCTCTATGTCAATCATATGTTGTCCCCTCTGTGTGATCGGTAGATCCGAACTGAGACACAACATATGCATTCCACAATGATTATCTACTCACCTAAAGTAAAGGATTCCGAAGAAAATTCCTTGATTACCGGGGTATGCCATGAAGTGGAGAACATGTTCCAGTGTACTAACACTAACTGAACCTATAAATAAAGGCTAACTAGTAGATTTTACTGGCTAAATTTAAGTGGACAACAATATCCGTGGTCGTCGTCAGACAAAATGGTCTATCTAGGAATATAGTAGTTATTTATCGTCAATCATGATTTGTCCTGAAAAATGTCTTTTTATGCTTAAGTGGATCACAATATCAATGATTGACCAGAGATTTTCATGAATGTGTGTGCTGATAAACCTCATTAATTTGATTCATAATGTTTGATCCCAAAAGTTTCTGTTTTATTAGAATCCACTTATTACATTTTTGTTTTTATTTAAATTTGTACATATTTTCGTTGTTATGCATAAATTTAGGGGGAGAAATTATAAAAAATATAATAATAATAAATAAATAAATAAAAAAAATCAAAAAAAAAATTTAAAAATTAAAATAAAAAAAAGTAAAAAGTTGTGTTCAGCCATCGTTGTTTTCTTTCTTCTTTCTTCGAGATTTTCTGCTAAAACCTACTCAGTCGTTGCTTTTCTTGCAAATTGTTTGGTGAATCAGATATTTCTTGGGTTTTCGATCATGCCAAAGGCATTTAAGTTGTTATTGGTGTACTCGGTTTCACAGATTTTGCAGGGTTTCGAGTGGATTTTTGAAGGCTGTCGAAAAATGAGTTGGAACAGGTTCCGATGAGATTTCGGGTTTTCGGTTCAACCCGGATTCGACCGAAATCAGATGAAGATCAGACCGAAATCTGGGTTCTCGGCCGAAATCAACCAAAGTTGACCGAATTCATCTGGTCAACAAGTGATTTTGACCGAAATCCAGCATCTTTGACCGAAATCGATCAATTTTGACCGAAATCGACTGAAATCTTCACTTTAACCAATATCGGATTTCAAACTCAATTTCATTAATTTTTAAATTAATTCTCACTTGGCTAGTGTGCAGATAAATGGCAGAACAACATAAATTTGTAGACTCTCACAACGTTGCTGGATATCTCATGGATCCTACTGCTGCTCATCAAGAATTCAAATCCATGATGGTGGGTTTAAACAACTGCAGGATATCTCAAGCTCTTCCTGCCAATCCAGTCATTTACAGAGGCTTTATTACTGACTTCTGGAGAAATGCATCGATCAACAAGCTTGGAGCAGATGGAGCTGGTATTGTGGAATCTATGGTGAAAGGAACACAAGTGATTATCTCTAAACAAGTTACCCGAGAGGTACTTGAATTTAGTGATGCATCTGCATTCCCAATTGAGTACTCTCCTGACCGCATCAAGGAATTTTTGGAGAGAATGTGTTATGAAGGAAAGTATCCTCCTAATATCATGAAACTACTGCCGCTTTACTGGAGGTTCCTGGCACAATCCTTTGTGCTGTGCATTTCCGTAAGAAAGGGAGGCTTTGACGAAATTAGTCAGACTGTGACATCAACCATTGTTGCTCTAGCTATGGACTGGGATTACAACTTCTCAAAGTTTGTCTTCAAAGAAATTAAGAGCAACCTCCTGGGAAAGAAGAAGGACCTATTTTTGATGTACCCCAGGTTCCTTCAAATGATCTTTAATGAAAAATATCCCCAAATGGAAAGGACATCCGACACTTTGGATATGAAAGGCTTGGGTCCCTACACTTTTGGACTCATGAAGCAATCGATAAAGGCTGCAAAAGTTGCTTATCAAGGAATAAAGGAGTTAGTTAAATTTGGAAAGTTTGCTGAGATTGAAGACACTCCTCTTGTTAGTTCAATAAATGCTAAGGTAGCCGATGAACATGTGGCGCCCAAATCAAAGTTTCAATTTTCCTTTGAAGAGATTGAATTATCTAATGATGAAGAAGATCAAGAGGATAAAGAAAATGAATTGTCAGAAAATGAGTTTGAGGATTTTATTCAACAAAGCATCCCAATCACAGAGAAGGATGCAGTTGTCACACCTCCGGTTGTGACTGAAAGGGAAAGTAGGACTTCGATGCAATCTTCCATTCCGACCCCTAAACAGCTGGATGCACTTATACTAGAACTTCAGCAAACTGTAGCCTCCCCAAACAGTTCCTGTCGATACTGAACCTCCAGTAATTTAAGAAATATCAATCCTATTCAATGAGCCCATTTCTATGGATCAAGATTTTCAAAGCCCTATTGTTGAAGAAGAAGTCATACCTTCAGAAGGAGCTCAAGCTTCAAGAAGCTCATTTGAAACACCCGAGTTGGACATCTCCAAAGGCAAAAGCAAGTTGCCCAAATCTAAGTTAGTTGATGTGGTTCTGCTTCAAAACAAAGTCTTTGATCTGGAACAAAGCTCTGCTGAAAAGGAGTTGATAATTGGAAAGAAGGATATTCGTATCAGCGAGCTTGAGAAAGAGAACTCTGATAAACCTTCAAAGATCTCAGAGGTTCAAGCAAATCTTGGTGGTTTAACTACTCTATTCTTTGATCTGAAGCAACGCCTATTTCAAAAGTTTGGTGATGAATTTCAACCTTTGAGCGCTGAAGGAGAAAAGATCATTGCTTCTAGTTCAGTTCCTACCAATCCAACTTCACAATCTTCAAGTGAAAGAGCTGAAAGACCTGCTCCGGATGCTAATCTTGATACATTCTTATCTTTTGGTCCTCTTTCTTCTCAGGCAAGAAGAGAGAAGAAAATTATGGTTGAGGAGCTGAAAGGGAAAATGCTTGTGATGAAGAACTCAGGTTAAAATTCTCCGGGTGATCACCATGAAATGTTTATCAGGGAAACTGGGAAGAAGTTCACTGATAAATATGGTGATCGTTCTGGCATCATCATGTGGGGATACGAGGCCGATAAGAAGATGTAGATCGTGAAGTGTAAAAGTGGAAGAGTTGAATATTATGAGAAGAAAGTCGATTTCTTGTCCTGGACAAAAGTAGATCATTTAGAACTCATCCACGCACCTTTCCACGATCCAACCAATGATACCATGTCATGGTCCTTTAAGAGTTTTCTTCAAGTTAAAGCGAAAAATAACTTTGAAGACTTAAAGACTGCTTCATCGTTTACTAAGAAGGCCAAGGGTTTCATTGATCCTCACACTAACAAAACAATGGTGAATGTCATGTGGCCACCAAAAAAGCAAGCCAAAAGGATTCCTATTCCTAAGCGCTTACCTGAAGGAACTTTTGATACAATAAAATTCTGGGTTTATGATGAGGCTATTGCTACGGTGGTGATCAAGCTGAGGAAAAACCAGTTTCGTATTTTTGATCCCAAAGATTTATTGCAGTTTGGAGAACGTGATATCCACACTTTGTCAAACTTTCAGATCATTGTGGAGAATGAACTATTTGAAGCTGCTGCGAAAGCATTCACCGGAATGGTAGGTACGATTATCGACAAGAAGCTATGGGCAGGGGCTTTTGACCAAGCATACATGCATCTCGTAGAGAAACCTTTAAGAGAAAAGAAAGCAATCAAACCAAGGGGGAGATTGTTGGGCTATATTTTGTGGTTTATGCTTTGTTTTGAATGTATTATATGGTTCTCGGTTTTGGACCGAAATCATCTAGTGCTTTCGGTGGGCTTAGTATATTTTCGGTGGGATTATTATGTATGGGCTTTAGTTTATCGGTTTAGTATATATATAGTCTGTGTATAGCTGTTTGCATGTATGCGGTTTTGGTTTTCACTAGGCATTCACAGCTGAATAGTGATTGAGTGTACTTGACAATTATTCAATAGAATTGTGTGCATTCATGTTATTGATTGTTTTGTATCATTGTTTGATTAAGATTTCACATTAAATCAAGCTATTGCATTGATACTTTGATAGATCTGAGTTAAGGGACTTACAATCCTTAACTCCTTATAGCCTCCCTCATATCAGCCTCCCTTTCCCCCAAATCATTCCTTGCAAACCCTAATCACATTCCACCAATTTTGAGCAAGTTTTGGTACTCTTTGAAGCTAGAGAATGAAGAAGAAGGAGGAAGGAAGCAAAGATCAAGCAAACAAGTCCCCATTCTTCATCTTGGCACTCTTCTGGACCTTTGTAAGTGTCCAAAACTCGATTTTTTATGTTACCAAGTTGTTATATCTTCAGTTTTGTCCCATTAGCTTCTTGTTCTTGCTTGTTGGGATGGTTAGACCTCATAAATTTGCAACTTTATGAATCTCCAGGTAAAGGTGATCTTGTAGGGTCTAGGATCTGGATTATAATCAAGTTATAATGCCATGCATAGAGATTAGGTCATAAATCCTCATTTTGACCTAATATGGGTTCAAAACATGCATTGGGTATGTACGTCTATAAAGCACCAACCTTTGGGATAGTTTTGCTGTTAGAATCACTTCTAGAAAGGATGGACTTCGGACTTTAAGGATTAAGTGCTTATTAGTTAAGGCCTTGCATTATTAAACTTTATGGCTTGGGTTTTTGACCTTTTTGGGTAGTCCCAATGGATAAAGTTGGAAAACTTATCCTTCTAGATCATACTTTGGACTAGATCTGAGCTTTGGAGATCTTGGAATCGAAGAAAACAACTTAATGTATTACGTTATTGGAACTCAGGCAACCACAGCGTGGTGCTAAGTCAACACGGCGTGTTGGCTGGGATTTTCCCAACTGCTTGGATGCTGGCAGAACGCGGCGTGGCCAAAGGGCACCATGGTGTGTTGGAGCCAACATGGACTGTTGACTTTTACATTGACTTTTGACTTTGTCCAAGTTGATATAAGGGGTATTTTAGGTATATTGAGTTGTATTTGAGGATTGGTCACTATTTGATGAATAGGTGATGGGTAAAGCTGATATTCAGAGTCGGGACCTATTCAACTATCGTTCAGATTCAAAGGTGAGTCTTCCTCATCGTGTTTACTGGGTCGAAGGCACCAATGCCGACCCATGGTTTATTATGTTAGGGTGCTAGATATCTATGTGATACTTGCATGCTTATGTATGCTTAGTGGGCGGGACGCAATATGTAATATGTATGCCATTACTTGTAATACTTGTATGTTTATATGCTGGGTGGGGTCCATTGTGAGAGTTAGGGCGAGGCCCATTATACTTAGTGGGCAGGGCCCATTATGCAAGTTAAGGCGAGGCCCGTTATACTCAGTATGTGAGGCCCATTATAACACTTAGGGCGGGGCCCGTTACACTCATCAGGCGGGCCCCATTATATGATTGATATGTGGGGTATGTGGTATTTGGCAGAAACTCACTATGCTTTGTGCTTACGGTTTTCAGTTTATGTTCTAGGTACTTCCCGGTGCAAAAGGGATGAGCTCGGGCTGATTGCAGTGCACACACAACATAGTTTGGCATTTTCATGATAACTATGATAATTTAAGATGTTTTGATAGATTTGATTCTTTTGAGATGTATGATGAGGTTTGGGGATATTGTTTTTATTAATTGAAAACTAAAATTTTTGGGACGTTTCTAGTTGGTATCAAAGCCTTAGTTTGAGGGATTCCGACATACTCGCGGGTGTGTATGAACTCAAACTGAGGATTTGGTAAAGAATTTTTCCAAAAGAATTGTTTTTAAGAAAATGGTTTTCTAATACAAGAAAGGGGTGTGGTGCATGCAATCGACCGAGCTCAAGTAAGTTTTCTCAAAATGCGCATACAAGTATCTGAGATGATTTTATTTGTGAATCTGTGAATCGCATGCTAGTTAGGGCTAAGGATATGCTCAGTATTTGCATGATAAAATGCTAGGAGAGATGCCTTTGTGTGCCTATTGTATGAGCTTGTAGACTTGCATGCTAGTACCGATCAGTCAGTGATAGGATGGTCTGATTAGGTTAGTCTTGGTTATAATTACGCAATGCTCGAATGCTGCTTGCTTCGTTCTTTTTAGGAGTTCTCACTCCTTTCAGCTAACTAGTAGGTGAATATGTTAAGTTACATATTAATGAGACTAGATAATTTTAGAAGGTTTGGTTTTAACTCTATTGCGCAGCTCTTGTTTGAGTCCAACCGTTGTAATGTGAGACCTCTCATTCGAAGAATTATTTGGTTTTAGTGATATGTAATAGTATTCGTGAGCTAGTTAGAGGAAGTTAGTGGGAGTTCCTTCTATAGCTGCTGGTGGAGAGTGGTTTGGAGTTTACCCAAGGAAAACCTAGGAAGAGATTTAGTGTTGGGAGCCTTAACTTGAAGAGGCTTAATTGTATGGATGTGAAGTGACTTGGCGGATTCAAGGAAACCCTTGAGGAAAGCACGGATAGATCTAGAAGGTAGTATGGGCCCGTACTACTGGAAGTAGAGGATCCGTACTCGATTCAAGGAGACTTGCGATGAATCTAGGAAGCTTGTAGAGTTTGTGATCCCTCAATATATTTTGATGCCTATTCTGATGGTTTATATGGTCTATTTTCAGTATGGTGACTTTGCGAGGCGGACCGGTTGGCAGTTTTGGTGCAAGGGAGGGCTCGGGCTTAGGTTCTGGAGCCGGGCAGTTGGATGATCAGACGAGCGAGTTTATTTTCATCTGAGATTACATGTTGCATTCTTGAGCAGACTCCTATGATCTTTGGTACGGTTAAGGAAAGAATTATAGAGATTTTGGATGAGCGTTTGAGCTCCTTTCATTCTGAGATAGTGGCCTTGGTGGGAGCGCGTTCTTTTATGTTCTGGGAGTTTCGGGCATGTGGAGCTCCAAACTATCACGGGGTGAAGGACCCGATAATGAGGAGGAGGTGGTTAACAGGTGATGCTAACTCCTTCCGCACCAGCAGTTGTCCGAGGGGTCAAATGCCAGAGTTGCATCCTGTCTCTTGAAGGATAGGGCACGAGATTAGTGGGAGAAGGTTGCGTTCTCTGTTGGTGATGAGGCTGTTGATTCCATGTCATGGGATGATTTTACGACGAGATTCAGGGTTGAGTTTGAACCGGTGATCGAGGTGCAACAGTTGGTGCGAGAGTTTCAGGATCTCCGCCAGACTACTGAGACAGTGGCTGAGATTACTGCGACGTTTCATGAGAGGGCACTGTTAGTTCTATAGTATGTGGTTGATGAGGAGATGAAGAAGGCGAGGTATCATGAGATATTGAAGAGTAATATTCAGCAGTTTCTAAGCCGATCCAACTGTAAGACGCTGAAGGATATGATAGCGAGGGCTAGGGAGAGAGAAAGAGATTTATCAGGAGATAGAGAAGAAGAGGAAGCCATATTATATATAGAGTGTACAGGGTTCGAGAAAGAAACCCAAGGTTGTTGATTCGAGATCGAGGGGCCAGCAGGGTTGGGGCCGCTGTGGCAAGTGCAGCAGGACGCACGATAGGGTGTACAGGGTGGGTGGCTCTAGCTACTCCAAGTGTGGCCGGACGGGTCATATAAGCAGAGATTGTATTTCTACTACCATCACCACCTAGATATCTGATCTGATTTGCTTTCATTGCAATAAGAGGGGCCACAAGAAGGGCCATTGTCTGAGTTTGACCGCAGCAGGACCGATGTCAGCACCTGCTCCTGTAACTCTATGGATTACTGACAACCGCCTAGGCAAGGCATATGAAGAGCAGGGCTTTTCAATTGACAGCCGAGGAGGCTCGTGCAGCTCCTGAAATGGTGACGGGCATGTATCTTCTCCTTATATCTTTATTTATATTGAATTTTCTGCTTATATTTATGTGTTTTATTTTAGGATTGTTCCTTGTGAACGGTATTTCTTCATTAGTCTTGTTTGATTGGGGGGCTACCCGATCCTTTGTGTCGCTTGTGCTTAG